CTAAATTCTCCAATGAAACCCTACATCAGGGGGCAGCAACATTTTTGGGCGGAGTGCTGAAAACACCCACAACTTCGACTTGTAAGATGTTGGTGTGCCAGGGGTGGATGATGGGGGAGCCACGAGGGGCCCAATCCTTGCTGTTGCCACGTAGGCCTGGCCCCTTCCCCGCCATCCACCCAGAGGTACGTGTGCCAAGCAAAATGCCTTTGAGTGCCACACTCTGGCACCTGTGCCGGGGGTTGCCTACCCCTGCCCTACGTCAAGGAAAGCCTAGGCTCATCACTAGTATAGATTCTTTATAGCATACAAGAACGCCTTCGTTACTTGCACTCATGGCTGACTCACACATACATCTTTGTTATTAGACTCTTCCTTTTGCATTCACATATTGAAACATTTTGTGATGTCCTTCTATGGGAGAGAACACCATTGCCCACATCCAGACTGAGTAGGGTTTTCAGCTCCTGAAACTCCCTTCTGCACCTTTCATTAATGGGGGAGGGGGGAATTCTTGCTTTTTATGTGCCAATTATATGAAGTTACACAATACATCAGTAGTCTTTATTAGAAAGAGAGTAAAAGTAACAGGGAAACAAAAGAAGTGACCTGCAAATATACCTCATCTGTGAAGCATATTTCCTTTAGTTACAGATAAAATTAAAGAAAACCTTACATGCCTCCAAATCAGGCCTTTTTCTTTAACATTATATAGTTCACCTGACTGCCTCTTTCTCCTCCAGAAAAGTCTCCCCATGCTCTCAGGTGATCTGCTTATTAATCAGGCTTATTTTACATATTTAGAGTTCTTAAGAGTTCCATGACCTACCAAGAAAATAACTAACATTTTCACAGAGGAGAGCTGGATCAATATCATCATCTAGAGGAAAAGCAAAGGCCTTTATCCTCAGTGTAAGACTAACCAATTTCCATCTTACCTGGTCATAGGTAGCATTGATTTCCATTTTTCAAAGTCCTCTAATTAATTTTCTTTTGCTGTGGAAAATAAATTATCAGACCTCAGGCCCTCTATGACATTAAAGAAACTACTCCTATGAGATACAGAAATAGAAAAGCATTGTAATGTCTATTTAAAAGAAGGGCACAAAGAAGTTATGTGACCTGCTCAAGACCACCTCTTATCTAAACATTAAACATGTAAGAGAAATCCTGGGAAACTAGAATTACTATGTCCTATGGCACATCCTGGTTGGGGGAAAGGAAGGGGTAGGAACTGAGACACATTTGTCACAAGAGGGAGAACATGAAATCTTAATGATAGGAAAGGACAATCACATGGTATGAAAACACGTAGATTCTTTTAAGTTGTAACACAAGACACCCAAAAATGCAGTTTGACAGATGTTCATCACAGGCAACTTTGTTTGTTTTGCTTAAGAGAAAGCAAATCTTCAAGCTCAGAGGACAGCAAAAAGGAAAGATTTTTCTTAGGATGTCTCCTCAATTCATGGATTAAAAAATCATGATAATCTTTGGAGACTAGGAAAATTCAATGTTAATATTCTGAATCAGCACAAGAATTTTGTTAGCATTTCTAAAAAGCTTAGTCCTTTAGCAAATCATTTTAAGAGATACTCATTAAATGTTAGAATTTATCAACCTGTATATCAGATAAAGTAGCTAATACCTTTATTACTTTGTTTAATTAAAACAAACTCCTTGGAACCAGATTCTTATCTTGCAGTTGAATACAAATCTCACTCAGTGAAAGACAAAATCATCTTGGAAGGTGGTATAAAGAGGGAGAGACCAACACATATGAAGAAAGATGGAGTATTGTTGAGAGAATATGGGGAGGCAGATATGAATTCAGTGCTCTGAAATTAAGTTTTCCTATAGTCTTCTATAACTGCTGACAAGATTTTTATTATCGTCTCCATTTTGTCTGAAATAGCAGCATTGGTTTGACTAATAAAAGCCTTCAAAGTAAGGCCTGCAGGTTTTAACTCCATCTGTTTCCCTGTTCAGCTTAGTTTAAAAATAATGTATATATTAAAAAAGGCAGCATACCAGGACAGATATCCAATATCAAAAGTTTCCCCAAAATGTGATTATTCAGATTCAGGACAAGAATGCTCTAATTTGCATTTTTTTGTATCTATTTCAAAAATATGTAAGGGGGTATTTTCCTTTGTTTGCGTATTTTACATATTTCCCAGAGAAGAAGAACAGGAGCTGCAAAATGCAGAGTTAGATAACAAAAATAAGCTGTAGAAAGAACTGTAACCCGTTATGGTAAGAAACAGATTCTCTCTCATCAGTACCTGAAAAAGCAGCAGAATGAGAAAGACTGCCAGATGTTGAGCCTTCTTCAGCCTGAGAAAATATAGATAATATTAAACCATGGGTTTTGCTGAGTGGTTTATGGCCTCTGGAAATTCTGTTCCCTGGAGAATATAACATCTTGGAGTCTGTCTTTAAGAAAACTGCCTTCTTTGAGTAATAGTAAATGGTTTCTTAAATGGTTCAAGAAGAAGGCAGGCACAACCCCCTTTGGTGGTTTTTGTCATGTAGTCTTTTTTTTTTGAAACAGCTGGAACCTTCTGCAAGGTTTATTTAATCTTCAAGGAGAAGAACCTCAATGAATTCAACTTGGCATATCTTCTTTAGGTAGCTGTATCAGAATAAATACACATTCTGCGCTATCTGGAACCCTTCATGGTTTTTGGAAGCATCCTGGCTTCCCCAGGTGAGGTAGAAATTGAGTACGTTTGTTCTTATTATTATTGGATGAGAGTCTGATAACTTTTTCACATAAGGAAAAGTCCCCAAGACTGTAAAGTCTACAGTCAAAATATGCTTGGATATTATTTGTTTTTGCTAGTTTATCCATTAGTGCAAGAATGGTAAAAATGGATTTGCAGAAACTTTTAATATCACTATTTCAGAAACTGCAATTGACTCAAATAGGATGATCATGTTATTTAGCAAAAATAGCCACCA